ATTCATGCTATATCTACATGATGTCAAGAGCTCAGAAATGTCATTTGACAACTGATCCAGAAACCACTATATCCTCTGCATCATTGTTGTCTCGTAGATCTAGTATTCATGTTTTGCATCTTTTAATATGTTCCTGCCTCACATAGATTCAGATGTTGGCAGAAAAGGTAGTGAAAACTCAAGTTTTCAAGGGTAAACTAAGATTAGTAACACAATTGATGGGATCTTATATATCATTCTTGTGAATGAAATAAAGACATGGACTGATGGTAGACGACTCTGTAACCTGGTAAGAAGATGGACTGCCTGTTCAATATATAATAATTAGGGGACTGCTATTGTCTTGAAGAACGGTTTTGCTTATGTTTGACGGTCCTCTGGCTACTTTTTTTTCAACTACCTTATTAATTCTGTGGTTGAAGATGGAGGAAGTGTGCTCATCATGTTTACTTTTAAAAGGATGAGAGAAATATGAAAACAGTATCCATAATGATTTTGGATAAAATCTGTTCAAAAGTGGGACACCTGGGTGGCTCAGCGGTTGAGCGTCTGCCTTTGGCTCATGGAGTGATCCCAGAGTCCTGGGATAGAGTCCCACATCGGGCTCCCTGCATGGAGCCTGCTTCTCCCTCTGCCTGTGTCTCTGCCTCTCTCTCTCTCTCTCTCTCTCTCTCTCTGTCTCTCATGAATAAATAAATAAATAAATAAATAAATAAATAAATAAATAAATAAAATCTTTAAAAAAAATCTGGTTAAAAGAGCTGAGCCCAGGTAAAACTTAACAAAGTAAATATCAACTTGTATTTGGGGGGAATATACTTGTGCAAGCACATGATTGGAATAATGAGACAGTCAAGAAGCTAATCGTCAGCTTATTAGTAGAAACATATGAAGGAAAAATGATGAAAGCACCAACATGTTCCTATTGGAAGAGGTCTCGGTGAAGACATGGCAGCCGGGAGACTCACGAGCTAACTGCAGGCAATCAGAGGCTTGTCACCCCCTCTCCTGTCCTTGGAATGTACGTTCTGCTCAGTCTTCCCACAGTGGGAATCATTTCTGAGGACACAGCCTTGAGAGAGCCATGTGTTGTTGAGACCATCTGGATGGTGTACGTGACTGAACCCAGCTAAGGCCTCCATATCAACACTTAAGTTTCTGGCAGGCATGTGTGGAGATCTGTGTGTCTTGCAGCTGCCCAAGGCAGGCCTTGTAAGTAAGTTCTTCTGCTTATTACACCTGCTGCCTACCAATCTGGAGTGGCCTGCCTGTTTCTCAGGCTCTACTTGCCCTCTATGTTTGGGGGCCTTTTATGAAACAAAAGTTGCCCATACATCAGACCACACCTCCGCTATGGTTTCACTTGTGCAAGTCACAATTTACATCTGCACCAGATACTGCAAAAAACCCCAAGAAATCAGGGTTTTGAAGGCTTGAAGTTGTAATTCATGAAGAAGAGGTGATGGAAATGAGAATGTTTATCTCGAGAAGTGTAGAATTATTGGGGGGTGTATGTAGATAGGTGGTGGGACTGGGAGATACACACATTATATCTTAAAATATTTTAAGCAAGCCTCGTGGCCAGCATGTTATTTTAAATGACCATTAGGAGTGGATTTGAAGCCAAGGGGTGAGAATGTCAGAACTGTTCTCAAAGAGAAACGTGCTCCCTTTAATTTTTGTAGTCTTCTGAATCTACCTAATCATTCATCAGGTATGTTGTACATTGTAAAAAAAATTAATTTTGGACCAATAAAACCTTTAAAAAAATCCCTTGAACCCTGAGATTCTATGATTTTGTGACCCGAGGACTCAAAACTAAGATGTTTTCAATCCCTAGGAACTTGATTCCAGATGCCGGGAGTCCTCCCTCCCAACATCCAATCCAAACCACTGCCTTTTCCCTGGCGCTGCCCCGAGGTCTGCAAGGTCAGTGAGAACCTCAGGGCTTTCCAGGCAGAAACTGGGCTCTGCATCCACCCTCATTAGGATGCATGTCCTTGAGGTTTCTGCACACGGGGAGAGAGGAAAAGTAGGCACTTCTAAGGCATTTAGTACTTTGGCAGAAAAAAAATAAAATAGAAGTTTGCTAAAAGGAGAAAATTTGAAGCTATTCTTTTTATTTTGATAGAGTTTCTGTGTGTCCAAGACTTTCTACTGAGTCACCAAGCCAGCCATGATAGTACTATTTCAACTTATTGGGAATATTATTTCTGAGTCACAGTAATATAATGATCTGAACATTTAAATGCTTTCTGTTACCTAGGACATCCGATCTTTACTTCACAGCTGCACACTCATAATGATGAGATTCCTCGTTGCACACCACACTGTATGAAAATATCACAGGGTAAAAAAAAAATGTTCTAGTTCGTGGAAGAAACGTTCAGACATCAGGTCCCTATTTCACAGCGATTCCTTTTTTCCCCTCAGAAAATACGCAAAAAGTAAGTAAGATATGACTCATTTGTTACAAGTCCCATGTTTTCACTGCAAATTCCTTGTCAGGCTTTGGAATTCATGCTTCCCTTCTACTCTTCCCATATTCTCTGAGTCACCAAGGTTTTTAGATGTTGGCAGGAGAGTGTGTTCCTATGTCTTCACAGGGTTCCACGTGGCTGGGAAAGGATAAATACCAGAAGTTAAACTAGGAGTGAGTGTAAGTATCACCCTTAGATCTAGACATCCGTGGCCCCCACTGCAGGTTCTGTGCTTTGCAAGGCTTCTTCTCAAATCATGATGTGCAAGTGGATTTCTTAGGATATTGTTAAAGGCACCCTGTGATTCAGTAGGTCTGGGGTTGGGCCTGAGAACTTGCATTTCTTTTCTTCTTTCTTTCTTTCTTTCTTTCTTTCTTTCTTTCTTTCTTTCTTTCTTCTTTCTTTCTTTTTTAAGATTTTATTTATTCATGAGAAACACACACACACACACACACACACACAGACATAGGCAGAGGGAAAAGCAGGCTCCTTGCAGGGATCCTGAATCAGGACTTGATCCCAGGACCCTGGGATCATGACCTGAGCTGAAGGCAGATGTTCAGTCACTGAGCCACCCAGGTATCCCGAGAACTTGCATTTCTAACAAGTTTGCAGGTGCTGCACGTGCTGCAGGTGCTGCTGGTTCACAGATTATACTTTGAGAATAGCTGGTTTAGTGACTCCTTCTGTCTACCTTCCAGAAACCCTCCCCCCACCCCCAGGATGAGTAGTTCATGTGACCCAGGGAACTTGCCGACCCAGAGACTATGTCACTCCCTCTCAACCACACTCCAAGTATCTGGGACTCCAGAATTCTCTCTAGACTACTTTCTGGCCAGTGCACACCCTTCTTCAGTCTGTCTTCCTGATGGCAATTCCCTCAACAGCATGTCCATGAAGGCTTAAAGTTGACAAAGGGTCAACTGTATGGGCTCAGCTGTGCGGGATGTGGCCCACATCCCCCTTGGTATAAATGGAGATTGAAGAAGCAGGAGAAAAGGAGGGGGCTCTATACAGAGGACCTTTTTTACCTTCTTGCCTCTCAAGGCAAAAGCTGGGGTTAGTCTTATGTCTGTTTGTGTAAGTAGCAGGAAGAAATAACATCCTGTTACAGCTTATCCAGATGTTAAAACCACAGAACTGCAGCCTGGATGGTTCTAGCTGGTGAGGAACTATTTATTGCATCTAAGGTGCTTAGAGGAAAGAAAAAATGTTTTCTATCCTTTCATGCTACCCTCCCCCTCCAGGTGATCACTTAGTGTATGGGGCTTTGAGGTCCCACAGACTTCAGCAGAAACCTCACTCTAACTTCTTGCACAAATTGGAGCAAGGCAGTCACTTTTGAGCAAGAGGTCATTCCACCCCTTCCCTAGATCCACCCAGACTACTTGTCTTCATCCCTCATTCGTAGCTCAAACGTCATCACCTTGACTGGATCAGGTACCTCCAGCTACTCTGGAAGTAACTGCATTCCTCTTTCTTGGCACTTTGTCCTTTTATGTGTGTGTGTGTGTGTGTGTTTTAAAGATTTTATTTATTCATGAGAGATACACAGAGAGAAGCAGAGACATAGGCAGAGGGAGGAGCAGGCTCTCCATGGCGAGGCTGATGCGGAACTCAATCCCAGGGCCCTGGGATCATGACCTGAGCCAAAGGCAGATGCTCAACCACTGAACCACAGAGGCGGCCCTTATATTTGTGTTTTTGATTGATGTCCACTAGCCCACTGGATTCCAAGAGCAGGGATCATGTCTCTTTAATTCTCTAGTTGTGTCCTCTCTTGTCTTGGCACACAGCCTGGTACCTGATAGATGCGAAACCCGTGTTTGCCAAATGAGTAAATGAATGTGTAGTTATTGTTAATATTAGAGATAAAATATACTAGGTGACTGGCACATAGTAGGTGCTTAATCAATGACAGCGATGATTTTTCAGTGTAGTCAACACTATAATCAGATGTTTTATTTTGTTTCTCCGTATTTTGTTCACGGGAGGGAGAATGGGGTGAATCTGGGACTCCTACATTTGAACCATCCAAGACAAGAGGAAAACGTGGTGTGATATACTACTGGCCCAAACAACCAGAAGCGTGACATACTTTTCAAAGGCTTAAGAAATGAATGATTCATCACTTAAAACAAAAAGTTCAAGAAAAAGTTGTACTTGTCGATTGCGTTGGCCCCACACAACTCATACCCCAAGTTGTGCACCTTCCTGAAAAGCCTCTGGTGAAAGTAATTCCCCACCCAAGTGTCCTCGCTGACGTCACCATCCGCCCCGGCCCCTTCGTATCTAGGGGATTACTTTATCTGTCTCTTTGATATCAACTATCCCAAATATTCCCTTGTCAAATATTTCTGGGGCTTGCATTGCAGAAAGAAACGATTTTCCCAAATCTGTGAACAGGACATTTTCTTTTTTTTTTTAATGTCAAAATAAACCATCTGCTTGTACAACTGTTTCTAATTACTTCCCTGCCTAGACTCTGCACTTGAGGGGTTTGGTACCAGCACCCCGCCCAAAGCAGTGCCTCTGCCCAAATCCTCGCAGGCAGCTCCTCAAGGCACTCCCGGCTCCGGAGAGAGGCCGGACCTGCCCGCTCTGGTGTCCGTGGGTCGGTCTGCAGGCGGCCTGCTGGTGGCACCGCTCCCTGCCACCCCCCCAGCCCCCCACCGGCAGCCCCACCCAACAGGAGCGCAGCTCGACTGCAGGGCCCCGGGAGCTCAGCATGCGTCCCGCAGGCTTCAGGAACTTCTTGCTGCTGGTGTCCTCTGTTCTCATTGTGGGGCTGTCAGCTGTTCCTCAGAGCTTCTCACCATCCCTGAGGTAAGTTTGGTTTGTTATTTTTGAGAAGGATCTGCCCTGCTTTGCGTGGCAGGGCTCAAGTTTGCAGGATGGCTGCCCTAAGCCAAGAGCAGTTAGGAGGTTGCACACGGGATAAACTGTTTTCAACCTGTTCCTGTTCCTTTCCTTATATCTGCACTGTGTGTTGCTTCGTGTCTGTCCTTTTACTTTTCCTCCGGAAAAAGACAGTGAATAAATACAAATATGTCATTTCCCCGAATTTTAATCCACCCCAAGAGGAACTTCTGCCCTGAGCCTAAGGTAATGCTATGTGTACCTGTGTGTGTGCTCATAGCCTAACAGAATCATTTCACAGGGTCTGTATTACATTAATGGATTGCATTTTGAAAGAGACTTTGAGACACATAATCATAGCTAAACTTTTTAAAAATATAGTTTATAAGCACTGCTTGATGCAACTTTTAAACATGATATGCCCTAGACTATGGTCCTCCATATTCACCCCTTCTTTTTCTTTTTCTTTTTTTTTTTCCTTCGTCTTCTTTTTCTTAAAACGGCTGCCCCTGGCCATCAGATAGCAATGGGACTCTTTAAAGAGCACTGAAAAGTCAGCCAAATGTCCTACTTTGCATCTATTTGCATTTAATCTAAATGCGCGTATAAGATTCAGTGGCAAGCGGCCAAGAGGCTGGGCCGGATCGCCTCGGTACACCTGGGAGGCGGCCCTACGCCTGGGCGTGCAGGTCACCCCCCCCCGACGCTTTGGTCTGAGTCAGGGTCATTTCCCCTGCGGTGGCCAACGGGGGCCGGCCGGGCGGGGGGGGAGGGGCGCGGTGGCAGACAGAGAGACCTGGAACCGCACGCTCCCTCCCGACTAGGCAGTTGCGTGTCGCCGTAGGGGTGGGCACCGGGTGCAGGCGGGGACTCCGAGCAAATGCCGTAGAGTCGGCTCTTGACCGTGGCCCCGCTGTGGTTTGTCGCCCCCGCAGGAGTGGGACTGGTGCCCCGTGCAGGCTGTCCCGCGCCGAGTCTGAGCGCCGCTGCCGGGCGCCCGGGCAGCCCCCAGGGGGCGCTCTGTGCCACGGCCGCGGCCGGTGCGACTGCGGGGTCTGCATCTGCCACGTGAGCGAGCCCGGCGTGTACTTCGGGCCCCTGTGTGAGTGCCACGAGTGGGTGTGCGAGACCTACGACGGGAGCACCTGCGCAGGTAAGGGGCAGCGGGCGCACGCGGGCGCATCCCGCCGGGGCTTCCCGCCGCTTCCCGGGGCCGCCCGGGGGCCCCGCCTCCCGCCGGGGCTCCCTCCCGGGCTCTGGAATCACCTGGTGCAATACTTGCCTCCGCCCAGGCCCACGCGGGGAGCGAAGCCACGCTGGTACGTTTCACTCACTTAAATTCTGGCTCTCCTTATTGTGGACGGAACCTCCCGGCTTCCCCCCAGACGGACTCGATCCGGTGGGCTCTTCTGCCCCAGTCACGAATTTCAAGCTTTTTTTTTTTTTTTTTTGCAGAACCTGAGCCTGTCTTTTCTTTCTTTTCTTTTCTTTTCTTTTCTTTTCTTTTCTTTTCTTTTCTTTTCTTTTCTTTTCTTTTCTTTTCTTTCTTCTTTTCTTTTCTTTTCTTTTCTTTCTTTCCTTTCCTTTTCTTTTCTTTCTTTTCTATTTTTTTTTTTTTTTTTTTTTGCCAAGGAAACGCAGGAGAATATCATTTTCCTAAATGTCCTAAAAAGGGGCCCAGGTCGTGTCTTTGAATCCTGATTTCCCTTCTTATTCTAGAGTTCACAGGTGGAAGCGCGTGTCCAGAAACTGTGACAAGGACAACATAAGCCAAGCGATTGATTGCTTTTGCACTGTGGTAGCTGCCCTGAAGTTTTCAGCTGCAGTGAAACTTGGTGTTTTAGTGAGGGTGGAGTAAAAAGGAATTCGTTTCTCTTGGACATTTTTAAGGAGTGATTCAGGTTGTGATACTGGAATAGGTCAAGATATTTCTTGGGAGAGAACACCCTTCTTCTAAACCAGTTTCACCAGAACATGCCATTTACTTAATTAAGGCCAGAATTTCTGTTAGGTCGCTGTGAATGGTGCAGGCCCTCCCTTAGTAAAAGGACAACACAAGGCATTCCAACCAGGGTTTGGCAGGTTTGTAGGGGGAAAAATAATCACAACTTCCTTTACCCACAATGTAGTTAAGAGTAAGAGTCCAACACTAACAGAGATGAAGAACAGGTTTGTAGCAAAATGGTTTTTTCTTGGCACCTGGGCCTGAAAATGCATAGTGAGAGGAGAGTACTTAATATGCACACTGCTTGGCCTTGGAAAAGTAGCTGTGTCAGTACTTTGGAGGGGCACAGGTGCTTCTCTGTGGTTTGTTTACCCTGTAAAGACTGTAGCTCACCCCTAATGCCACAGCTTGTTATTTTAAAGTTGTCAGTCTCAGGACGAGGTGCAGTATTATTAAGGGCAGCCCTTTGGAATGAAAGCTAAGTATTGTCTAATATTTCATTCCAGACTTGACTGTTACCTGGCTTCTCTGGCTTGTACTGCCTCTGGCAAGGTCTCTTCAATATCATGAGTTCTGAACACATTTTTTTCAGGACATTTTTGAATTGTTCTTTCACTGGAAAATGTAAGAAGTATGACACAGTCTTCAACTGGTGAAACCACTTATGGGTGCCATCAGATAAAACTTGCCTGTTGAAGAAGTTTATCTGGTTCCTTTCTGTAAAAGCTATGCAGAGGGAATGCTATGGCCTATGGTGGTCTTGTTGATCTCCAGTGGAAAGTGATTTGCTGTTTACCCCTAACATCTTAGCCGCTGCATTCTTTCCTCTTGATACAAATGCAGCACTAAGTCATGCATGGTTTTGTTTGCATATGGATACAATCCTGTAGAAGGCAAAATGCTTCTTTTTACTCCAAGGCTGAATGAAATAACTGTGTGCATTTCCCATTCTCATCTTTGTGAGTGATGCCAATCGGGGCCTGCACTACTGGACCTGGTGCAGGATCTGCCCCTGCAAATGCTCTGATGGCCTTTGCCAGGCCAGTGACACCTTTATACACAGCACTGTTGTCTGGCTACCTTGCCAGCTTGCCTGCTTGTACATTTTGAATGTAGCTTCTCAGTTCCTCTTCAAAAAGTTTGTATATTGTAGCTAAGATAGAAACATAGCAAGTTGTCTTTGATGTTTTTATGTGCACCTGGGCCTCTACCTCTATGGTGCTTTCTAGAAATAGAGTAGCTCTCAGAAGCCTCCCCACCTTTTTGAAGAAAACAGAATCCTGCTCTGATAGTGTATCAGAGAGTGGTTAATACTCTGGACTCTGGGGGGAAATTTCAAGGAGTCAAATCCCAGCCCCACCGCTTAACTGCTGTGTTAACTTGGGCAATTAAACTTTCTGAGTCTTGATTTCTTCATCTGTAAAATAAGAATAACAAAATACCTATCTTATAGGATTGGTATGTTTTTTTTTTTTAACACATGTAAAACATTTAGTGTTTCACAAAGTGCTCAATACATATAAATATGTGTATATGCATATAATATTATAGTGATGCACAAAGGTGAGCTAGTATGTATGGATGAGTAAATAGATAGCCTGGCTTTGTATTTGTTGGACATTTGATGCAGTCAGAGCAATTTAGTTTTCTTAATGTAGCCTGGGCCTGCTATTGATCCAAAGCTCAAAAGGTCGAGCAAGGATAACTGTTTTGGCCCAGCCTTAGAGCAGCTGTATTAGATACACCATGCCCTTTTAAAGTTAAGTCCATTGGGATTCTTACACTGTGAATCATAAGAAAGATACTTATTTTAGTCTGAGGCTGTTTGAAACTGATTACATATATATTAATGTATAACTAATGTATAATCCAGTGTCCACTTGTTCATGGCACACGAATCTTCTTCCTTGAACTTCTGTAAAGTAAAGGTCTGGCCCAGAGACTATTCCTGGGTGTGTGTGTGGGGCGGTGTCAAATGAGAAGTCAACTAATTTGGGTGGAATATTTCTTCGAGAAAAGTGTTTGGTTACATAAAACAAACTTTCAGCTAATATTTCAAGAGGTCTCTGAATCCACCCCCTGAACAGATATGCTTACACTTAAATGTTGTCTTTTTAAAATCTTTTCTAATCACTTTTGAAATATATCACTTAGAAGAGTTTAAGTTTTAGTAACCAGGAAGAACTAATTGAATTGAATTGAATTAAACAAATATTTATGAGGTGCTGTATATTTACTAGACCCTGTGCTGTTGAAGGAGACAAAAAGATGAGGAAATGAGAATTTCCCATTGAGTAGGGAGATGAAAATACCAAATGCCTGTAATGCAATGCAGAATATAATTTCTACAACTTTTCATTGTATGATATCAGTGTAAGATTCGTTTATAGTTTGAGTTGGCTAGACAAAACAGTATGGATGATCTAAGACTATGAGAGTTTCATTGAGGCAGAGATTAAATATTGTGGTTAAAATTCTTGAGAAAGAGGTAGCTTTTGCCAATTATCTTTATGCATTGGGAGGTTTTTGGTCCAAATGGGGGACTGTTGGAATTCTGAGGGAAGAAAAAATCCAAGCAGTGGTTTAGAGGCAGAAAGGCATGTGGGACAAGTGAAGTATTCTAGGTTTGGCTTGGCTGGATCTTAGGGCTGTGGGGAAAGTAGTAGAAGGTATTTTGAGTTACAGTTGGACATACTGTTGAGAGCTCTGAACCTGAATGGGAAGTTTATGCTTATAGGGGCCATGGTGAGATTTGAATGTGAGAGCCATGGTTAGTACTCTGAGTCATGAAAAGTACCAGGGTAGGGTGCTGGACAGCATGGCAGTTTGAAGTAGACATCTGATGGGGAGGAGCTCAGTTTAAATGCTATTTAAATGGTAGTCCAGGAGATAGAGAATAAGACAGAACTATGATGAATTTTAAACATTGTTGAAGGTACAACCAACATGCTTTAGTACACGGATGAATAAGATGTTAAATCAGTGCCTGGGTGTATGATGGAACTGATGGAATAAAAGTCAGGAGAAAGAACCAGGTAACTCCTAATCAATGGCTAAAAACCTTTACTAAAGAAAAAATGCTTATTTTTAATCTGAAACTGCTGTAAAATGAAGAATCATGGCTAGCAGAATGAGTCCGGACTCGACTGGCAGTGAATCTAGATGGATCACGTTTGAACTGTCAACTTGGGTTCAGTTGTTTGAATCCTTAACCTTGAGCCAGTCATGATTTCTTTGAAACTTAGATTCTTTTTTTTGGACCATCTTTATGGATATAAAGAACCTTGCATCCTGCATTGTATTATTCAGAATAATTTTTATGTTTATGTATAAATATATTTAATATCCATATAATTATGCATTTATACATTTATTCAGACTATGTATAAAACATTCTTATAAACATTAATTTATGTACATAAACACACATAATATAAAAATAATTAAAATACATGGAAATACCCCTTATATATCAATATTAATTTTTTTCTTGCAGATATTTCTGACTCTTATACTGCTAAATAAATGATAGGAGAATTGTATGTGATTCTTCATGAGAACTGGACTTACTGGGGATGCCTGGGTGGCTCAGCAGTTGAGTGCCCTACCCAGGGTGTGATCCTGGAATCCCGGGATTGAGTCTCACATCAGGCTCCCTTCATGGAGCCTGCTTCTCTCTCTCTCTCTCTCTCTCTCTCTCTCTCTCTCTCTCTGTTTCTCATGAATAAATAAATAAATGTTTTTTATTTTTTAAAAAGAACTGGACTTTCTTGTTCTTTATAGTCTATCTTAGGACTGATTTGCTTTTCCTCACAGTTGCATTTTTCTTAGATAGTTGGGTAATTCCCTCCTAGCCTATTTTGTGGAATCGCTCTTTGGTTTTGCCTTAGTTATTTTCCATTTTTCACCCTCTCTTCCTTCCTTCAAACCATATTCTATTTTACTTGCCCACTCTTTTAACTCTGTCCAGCTACCCTGGGTACTGGGGTATTGCTACATCCTTGCTTCTTCTTTATATTCCCTCTGCGCCCCTGCGCGGGACACCGGGCACATAAGAGCATTGTCTGTTTTTTAACATCCCATCCAATCAATGATTGTGTTGAACAGACAGACTCCAGTTTCCACATGTGTTTTCATCATGGTCTTAAAGTGTCCATAATTTTGGAGAATACACTCAGGGGTTCCCCACCACTAGCTCACCTGTATGC